GTTTTCACCTGGAAATGGAGAGAAAAACACACAGGCCCAACCACTAAGTGAGGCAGACATGAACAATAAAGGCAGCCTTGTGTCTTCCAGACAATAAAGAAGCAGTCATTAGGAGACAAGCTTCATCCACTTCTGCCTGATGCCCCAGCCGCAGAGCTTGCCCCACAGGCCACCCACAGGAGCGACGGGTCCCACTGGGATCAGCTGCGCAGCCTGTCCGAGTGCAGGCACGGTCCTCCCCCGTCTCTGCCAGACAGGCCCCGCGGTGCACACCGTCAGGAGCAGGAGCACGGCGCCGGCTGCGAAACGCACAACCGGGGAGGCACGGCCCAAGCCAGAAGCAAAAGCAAAGAGCTCCTGAAGAGGTTCATGAATCAGTGCGTATTTTAAAGGGATCACACCCTCCCTCCCAGCCACACCCATTACCTCTGTCTCTGACACCAACGAAACCCCCAGCAGGCAGCCCGAGGTGTCTCAACACCAGGAGACACCAAACCCCTAAGAGGTTTTGGTTACCTTAGGTGCTGTGTGATTCGTCAGTGAGACAGACAGTACAGTAAGTCTGAGTGATGTTGCTCTTAAATGCCGGGTTCCCACTGCTTTTAACATACATTTCATTTAAAATAAGACCTGCCCCCTTGCCAGGCTTCTCTCATGTTTGCTTTTCCAACCTATTCCACAAATATGAACCGGTGCCCACACATGACAGGTCCTGAGGTGCACCATGTCCTAGGGCTGGAGGGGACCAGTTCTCCCACCTGAAGGTTTGCTCCTCTTTGCAATGTGTCCTGACAGATGCTCCCACAGAGCTGGCCCTCAGCTGGTCCCACCCTTCAGCTATGGGAAGATCTACCACCGCGCCCATCAAAATCTGTCTCCCCAACTTCAGGTGACAGCGCCCCCCCTCACTCTATGGAGCTTTTGTGCCCCTGCTACTTGAAATAGCCCTTAAAAGCTCAAAGACAGTATGTTCTCCTTAAATCTCTTCCCCAAGTTAAGTACTTCAGCTCCCGTTTTACCACCTGTCATCCCATCCTGACCACCATCTGAGATTTCATTCATGAATGTCCTTCCTATAATGACAGCCAGCACAAAACATGGCAGCTACTCGAGGAACGCCAAATGAAGAGTTCACTTTCTGCTAAAATTTTCATGTCACCACTTTCCCCACAATTCCCATGTCATGAACCAATTTTCCATTTTTAGGTAAAAATTAAACTCATAGTAGCAGTTCTTCTAGTTGCTTCCACTTAGCTTCTAAGAGAAAAAGGCAAATTAAAAATTTATCAGATGTTTTCTGTTTAGCAGAACGGAGCTTTGATCAGATGCCCCCGCGTGGCAAAGCCTCAGATTCCTTACCTGCCAAAGGCAGATGATAACAGTGCCACCGCACGTGGCCTGATGAAGATGCAAATGAGATAATGGAGGGAGTGCTCAGCACAGCATCTGACTCCGATTAAGCACCTGACAGATGAGCCTGGGTAACATTGTTGTGTTCTTTCCTGTTAGCTCCCCCTTCTCCACCACGCCTGCCCTCACCACCAAGCCTTTCCGACTGGTGGTGACTTCACCAGCTGACAGACCCCAGCTCTTTCAAACAAGAGATCCCACTGTATCCCTGAGTTTTAGTCCAAAATCACATCACCATTTCTACAGATACCTTCAAAATGGCGTTTCCTTCTGTGTGTGACAATTTAAAGGTTATGAAAATGCAACATTTAAAGGGCACTTGGCTGACTGACCAGACCCCATGTGTTGGCAGGCAGATATCAGAGGCCGGGCCGCAGAACCCCCCGTCTCCTGTGATTTTGTCCTGAGGAGGATCACAGAGCATCTTCTCGGGTCTTCCAGGATCTACACTCGTAGGCAGCTTCCCCTCCACCGTGCCTGGCCTCACAGCCACAGTCCGGAGCAGGGCCAGCCTTCCCTCAACATGCAATGACATGTATGTATGTTCACTGGAAGGAGAATACAGACTCTATATGGCCTCCCTCCCGTTCAGGTCACATTTTGCTGCCGAATTTATGTGCCAAGATGTTAGGCAATTATGAAAACAGCTTTCAACTTTAATTCCTCTTTATGTCTTCTCAGAATTGTTTTCTGGTTTTGTCTGGCCTTTTAAAATTCATCCTACCTAGGCATCCTCTCTCATTGCTGGTAAGCTAGAAAGATACTATAGAGAGGCGTTCCCAGCCTCTTCCCTGGGAACCCCAGGCGCCCGTGGAAGAGGCTGGAAATCACCGGTTTAATCCACCCGTTTCTTAGGAGTCACGTTACGGTCCTGCCAGCATCCCTGAGTCCTGGGCCTGCAAATGCAGTTTGCTGCTACTGGCTCAGCTGAGAAATCTCTTAAGTTTTATGGGAAATGTAAAAAAGTAAAAGACATGTCCATGAGCTTCATCTAAAAGTCACTCCACTTCAGCTTCTGTGACATTTTAAATAGGTGGCAGATGCCAGCAAGTAAAATGGGGAGGAAAAAAATCATGCATACATATGCACAGATACATACTAATGTGTATATATGCATGTGGACATCCACAGGTATGTACAGTCTGCCAAGTGGTTCCATTCAAATAGCCTTATGAGCACGGCCAGTGTGGCTTGGTGGTTGAGCATCGACTCATGAACCAGGAGGTCACAGTTCGATTCCCAGTCGGGGCACACATTCCAGGGTTGTGGCCTCGATCCTCAGTAGGAGGCATGCAGGAGGCAGCCAGTCAATTATTCTCTCATTGATGTTTCTCTCTCTCCCTCTCTCTGAAATCAATATACATATTTAGGAAGCCTCATGAATTATATCTTACCCCCAAACACCCCAAACTTTTCAAAGCAAAGATGTGAGGGAACACTAGTTTCTAAGACAGGCATTGCCTCCTTTATCAAATATCAGCATTTAGTTTTGCTGAAATTGGCTTATGAAACACAAGTTTCATCAGTCAGATTTTAAAAATCTAAGCTGTATGGAACAAAATAAATACAGAAAAGTCGTCCTATAAAATAGGGAAGCCCAGCAATTTTAATTAAAGAAAGATTAAGGCTTTGCCTTCGTTTTTAGCAGCTGGACATGTGAGCCAGGCACAACCGACCCTCCTGCAGGGCAATCGCCAGCAGCTGGTTAGGAATGTGCCCGGCACTAACTTCAAAACAAAGGGGGGGACAGGGGCAGGGCCGCCTGCCCAATGGAGGACCGGCTGCAGGACCCGCTCAGGTGGACGCTGGGAGGACGGAGACAGGAATGCTGGGGATTTACCACGAACAGTCAGTCCCTCAGGCGTTGGGCCGTGTGTTCTGTGGAAGCGTCCTCGGGTTTTGTGGTCCTTGGGGCTTCTGCCTCCTCACACATGACTTTGCTGAGGTCAGAGAAAGAACCAAAGCGGCCGCCGTGGCTGCTCTGCAAACCCCAGGTGGGCAGTGTGGGCAGACAGGTCCCTCTTCCTTCCCGCGTTTCCTACCATCATGCTCCCAATCCCGTGCCAGCATCCCAAGCCCTTTCTGCACCTGTTGGGGGCGTATGTGTTCCTGGGGAGCTCATACGAAGGCACAGAAACATGGAGAGCCAGAGCTTACAGAGAAACCGAAGGTGGCTTTGGGGGGCGCGGGGGCAGGGAGGCAATCAGAATTATGAAAAGGAAACATGCAGAATTACCTGGAGAACCTGCTGCTAACAACTCTGTCCTGCTGACAACAAAGGTACGAGACAGGGACAAAGGAACTGAAAAATGGAGAAAAACAGGGTGAGACCATATCGAAAGGCAAGAAAGGAGACCTCTGTAATCAGGGGACAGGAGTGGGTACCAGTCCTACCAATAGGAGCCAGCGGTTCCAGAACTGAAAAGGCCTGTGTGACGTCACAGACACAGAAACAGGACACACCACTTTCCAGGAAGAGGGGCCGGGGGTGGAGGTGGGGGGGCGAAATCCTGGTCGCCATGCTTCTTTCTCACCTAGGAATCTCTAAGCCATATGAGCACCCAATGGGGTATAGCTCAGAACGCGCTCTTCTAACCACTTAAAGTCGCAGCTAGCCACAGCCAAGAGCCTCAAGAGCAGGACCTGAGCCGCCGTGCCAGCACCCCCTGCTCACTCCCAGGACAGCCTACAACTCCCTGTTCAACTCACTTACACCCTTAGTTAGTCTGACTGTAATTCTGACTTGATGCTTTGAATTGCTCTGGATACTCTGAAATGTCCAAGTATTAGAGGCCAGTAAATAAAGAGCAACGTGCACAGCCTTCCTGGGGAGGGCAGGACGGGCGTGCTCGTCACTGTCTGCCCACACAGGGAGCTGCAGCCACCTGACCGGAGTCCCGGCAGCACTGCGTGCTGGGCAGGAGTCTTATTTCCTGGGCAGGTTTGTTTTTTAAACTGAGGTGTACTGGACATATAACCGGGCAGACCTGGATAACAGATTACTGTAGGATTTTTCTAGGCAATCAAAATTAATAAAAACATGATCTTGAGATTACTGTACTAATTGCATCTCTCGCACGTACAAAATCCCAAATCCGAATGGTAAAGTCGAGTACATCACTGGGCTTGGTAATAAGAGGCTATTAACGAACTCCCCTTCCTTCCTGGCATTTCCAACGAGGCAGGCAGCCCCCAGTTGTCTCTATGAAGGCCTGCTCTCAATTCCTCTTCTGAATGGGACTTAGCCTCACATGAATCCACAGTTCGGTATCAATAAAAATGTACAATTTTCTCTCCCAGCTTTCTTTTCAAAACTGCTTTGTGAATCTATTCTGCTCACATGGGCTGACTTGAGGTTGGGTGCCAAAAAGCCGTCACAATGTCAACACCTGTCACACCAACGTTCCCTCTTGTGCTTTAAAGGTTACGAAGCATGTGTGAGCATCACCACATCGGTTCTTTCAACAGTCACACGAGGTAATCTTATACCCTCTCAATAGCGAGGAAGCCAAGGCAACTGAGTATGATGGAACCTGGCGGTACCGCGGGTCTTCTCAGCCGGCGAAGAGCCTTCCTGTCCTCACGCCGACACCGCCTGACACCGTGGGTGTGATGGGGTTACGTTCACACTGGGTGCTCGTCAGCACTGACAATGGGGCGCTGGCCCCTGTGACTCAAACGCCTGCCCAGGGAGAGTGAGAAGATGCCTCTGGAGCAGGGAGGCTTGGGGTGTGAGAGGATTGACGCTGCCCTGGCTTCTAACCGTAACATCTCAGTGTCTGCGACATCGGGTGGCACAGCTGAGGACCAACACCACAAAAATAGACTTGTCTGGAAGTAGCCCTCCCTGTTTTTCAGAAGTAACAGTGGTTTTTAGGATGGGCTATTGCAAAAGTTTTCTAGGACAGCCTGTCACTTGACATTTTAGCCACAAGGTGGCACTACGGCACCTCTGTTTGCCTGCCTGCCCCATTCTACACACACACACACACACACACACACACTCACACACGCACACGCGCACAGCAATGTCGATAGGGACCATTCAAGTCCCATCCCCGAGGTGAGCCAGGTACCCCTGTCCATGTTCCCACTAGGACAGGCTCCGCTTGCTGGCATCTTGTGCAGAGCACTTAGTTAATGGCCCATGGCACAGCCACCCAGAACTGGCTGACTCCAGAAAAGAGCTGGATATAGGTCATAAATATATATTAACAACCTCATTCATCCGCAGGAAACTGCAAATTGAAAAACCTCCAGAGCAGTCACCATTGAGATGATGCAGCGATACCGCGGGTGCGGCCACGGAACGTCCTCAGGACAGATGTGATGCGAACACTTCGGAGAACTACTAGAGCTGGAGAGACCCTCATGCCTGTGAGCCCACAATCCCACTCCGATGTACAGACCCGGAGGGAGGCCCACACGTGCATCAAAAGGCAGCACAAGAGTGCCCATCACACAACCACAGCAGCCCCAACAGGCGGCCACCCAACGCCCATCAGCAACGAGAAGAATAAACGCAGCTGGGCACGCGCACAACGGAGCGCTCCCAGCAACGAGAAGAAATGGCGTCAGCGCCTCTGACAACACCGGTGAGCGTGCGGGCAGCCCAGCTGGGTTAAAGCAGCCGGACGCAGTAAATTCACCCCAAAGGGCGTGTGGGGTGGCGGAGGGTCCTGTGGGGCCAGGGATGTTCGGCCTCTGATCGGGCTGTTTGCACCGGCGAGCTCTGTTCGTGAACGTTCACACAAGTACATGTACCTATGATTTGTGCAGTTTTTTGTACACACGATACACTTCAGTACGAAGGCCAGGAAGCATGAACAGGGCTAGCTGCAGGCAGGGAGCGGAGGGCGGCCGTAGGAGGACACTATTTCCCAGAACACGGCTCTGCGCTCAGACTGAAGGCAACTCACCTGGGGAGGCCGTGAGGGCCATGACGCCATAATACGAAAAAGCACTGGCTTCAAACTTCATACCTTCTTTCCCAGCTTCCACTTCCACTTTCCCCTGTGAAGAGAGAAGGGGGCGTCTTCAGTCCAGCACGTGAATCCACGTGCAAGCCTGGGCCAGACGTGGTCCTGCCTTCGAGTCTGACTAAATCCCTTCCCGCAATCCCAAGGCAGCGATGCCTCTGCCCATCTTCCCCTGAGGAGAGGTTCCTTCTTCTCAAACGTGAAAACCAGCTTTGGCTGGGGATGCAGAGTGGCAGTGAAAGTGTGATGTTTAACTTCTCTCGTCCACTTAACATTTTCCCAGCATCCTTAGCTGTGGGTTCCCAGGAGCCCTCCCGGCCACGAGAAGGCAATGCTCTCGCTCCGTCGGGGAGGCTCGGGGGTGGTGGCCACGCCGTCCTGTAGGAGCCCCAGCTGGAGCAGAGTCAGGGCCAAGGGTCAGCATGGTGTGTGGCCATGGGACAGAGAGGACTAAACGGGTTCGCAGGGCACCCCCTCACTAGCATGGTCCCCTGAGCAACTGCCCAGACGTCCTGCAGGCCAGTCCCCTGTCGTTCAGGCTCCCCAGGGGCACGCACCACCTGGCACACGCTCCCTGCAGCCCCAGAAGCACCTTAAGGAAGTCTCCTCCCTCAGGACAGGACCTCTCCCAAGGTTTTCCCTTTTCTTCCCTTCCTCCAACTGGTCTCCATCTCCTTCCCTCTTACCAGTTCCCTGGGACAGACCTCCCTACCGGTCCCTATGGCATTAGAGTCCACCAGAATCCCTTCGCGGGAGATGCTCAATATGTGCTTTCTAGACCACTGATCTCCAAGCCACGGCTCAGAACGGCCCCGGCTGCCTCTCTGTGAGAGGGGACCTTTACGGTGGGCAAACAAAAAGGTACCGTTTACTGAAGAGGAACTGTGTAGCCAGTCACAGGGCGTTAATTCACTCAGTGCTCCCAACTCGGAAGCAGACACAATGACCCGCCTCTTATAGGTCAGGAGTGGGGGCTCAGAAAGATTAAGTAACCGAAGAGCAAGCTCTTCACCAAGATGCGACCTATGCCACCCACCAAGGCAAACTCTTTTATTCGGATCACTCCCTGTTATTCTAGACTAAATTCCCGATTATGGGAGACCTTTCTCAAATCACTTCAGAAAATGACCTGTTGTCTCTCTTTTAGGTTCTCCTTCCCTCAATGGCTATGTTAGTTTTACCAACTCCCACTAATTCTCTTGCCATAAGAAATGAACAGATTATTAAAATCAACCTGCACGTAGGCACTGAAAACCTGACCATCCCTGCAGGTCCCAGAGCAGATGCTGTGGAGTCCAGTAGGGAGGGGAGAGCACATGAAAATCAAAGATGCAAAGCAGTACAGTTTTTACTGAGGGGAAAAAACCAGTAAGAATATAAAGAATTCAGCCTGGCCAGTGTAGTTCAGTGGTTGAGTGTCAGCCTATGAACCTCGAGGAAGTCACGGTTCGATTCCTAGTCAGGGCACATGCCCGGCTAATGGGCTTGATCCCCAGGAGGGGGCATACAGGAGGCAGCCAATCAATGATTCTCATCATTGATATTTCTATTTCTCTCCCCCTCTCCTTTCCTCTCTGAAATAAAAACAGTTTTTTTAAAAATATAAAGAATTCAGAGAAAAAAAATTACTTCTACCTCCACCTCCGGGTCTGAGGAAAGAAATTTTATACAGGAAAGAAAAATCTGAGGAGGAGGAGGATTGGATTGAGCCAGGAGAAGGGAACAGCATGAAGGAAGGTCCAAGGTCGGTGACAGCAGACTGCCAGGCTCACTGGGTTTGCACAGGGAAGATGGGCAAGAGAAGAAGGGACTCGATAGTCACAACAGAAGTTGGCCCTTTGTGACGGAAACGGACACCCTGAGTGGAGGTGGAAGAGCCGGGAAGGGGCTGCCTCTGTGGCGGGGCCAGAAGGGGAGGACAAATTCCATTTAAGAATAAGGCCTTCTGAAGAGTCCACGAAAAGACCGAAATGAAGACTGAAGGTCAGGAGAAAGGTCAGGCCCGGAGGTGGAGACCTGAGCGTGGATCAGAGAAAGTACTAGTAAGTGGAAAGAGGAAAGGACCAGACTGCATGCAGCCCGTGACCAAGAGCAGGGGGAGAGATGGAAACCAATATGAGAGCAACGGACGAAACAGACAAAAAGGAGGACTAGACAGCTGTGTTGCCATAGAAACTAGGGGGAACCTCACAAGTAAAGGGGGGTCAGAGTCACAGAGGTGGGAGATGCTGTGGCCTTCAGGAGTATCGCCCTGAGGAAATCAGACCGTGAGGGGCAGGGAGAGCGGGCGGGGGGGCGGGGGGAGCACAGGCGCAGGTGAGGAGGGAGGGCCGCCAGGGCTCCACTGAAGGCGAGTTAGGGTCAGGGAAGCCAGTGCACCAAACTGTCATTTAAACTCCTCCGCAAGTCCTTTTAATCCAGCACTTACACTATTTATAAAACCCCATGGCATCATCAGCTCAACAGTTCAGAAAACTCGCCACATGTGTATAGATATACACATGGCATAGGTATTCCAATGCAGGCACATATACATATGCCTTGTCAAAAATATCTTTATGTTAGAAGACTTACTTGTAAATGGACAGGGATTACAAAGTCCCTCTTCCATAAAATCTATTTTGAGACCCGTCAGCCAGATAATGGCTCTCTTCTATACCAACAGAGCATTACTGAATCACAAATGCATCAAGACTAACTATATAAAAATTGACAACTGAAAGTATCGTAGTTTTTACTGTTACCACTGAAATCCACAATGTCAATCCTCAAAACTGTCCTAAATAATCATTTTTAATGTAATCCAAAGTTTCTCTAGGTTTAAGGAATACTAGTACTCACATCTAGCTTTATGAGAAACATGAATAATTATTCCCTCACTGCAGTAAGTCCTCCACAGCCCCTCAGAATTTCGAGCTTGTCCATTTCCCATAAAAGAAAAACAATTTGAAGTTGAACAAAACTAAGGTTCGTAGGGGAATCGGGTTTGAATTAGAAAACCCTGCCAACAGACGTTTCCAAGAAAGACTGTATCAAAGTGGCATGTGACCAGTTAACCCATGGATTTTTCTACACTTCCTCACTTCTGCTTCCAGATGCCACAATATTGCCCAAGCATGGGGCATGAAACAACACTTTCCCAGGTTTCTGACACCGATATCTGATAAGAATTCCTTCCAAACGAAGAGAACCTTCTCCATCCATTTAGGTAATTGGGGCCTTGCTGGACTCATGTAAATTTTAGGGGTACCAAGTACTGACTACACTCTTATAATGATACCTCCAACTCATATCTTAGAAGTAAGCAAGAAATATGAGAATTTAAGGGGCTAGTATTCTTGTATTGAAATAAAATCAAGATTTCCTACAAAGTAATTCTTCAATAAAGAGGTACAGGAAGTGAATAAAAGTAGCATTTTGTTCACTCTAATGTTCATGTTGGTCTCCATGCCAAGGACGGTGTTCTATTAGTCATACTGTGATGTGATCAGCGTCTCCTGATAACTCAGGCACCAGAGCCCCAAGGAGGGTTCACACTGGATCGACCTTCCCACCTTACCTAGTGGATTATGTTGTAGTGAGAAGGAAACAAGTCACCATTTCCATGAGAGGCTGTGATTATGACATCAGTGCCTCTGTAAAATAGTCTGGTTAGTAACCAGGAATAAAAACTATAATAAGTGAATTATTTAGATAGTACTAAGGGAAGAGAGAGTAAAATATCTCCAGGAGACTATGAGAACAAATCCTAAGGAGAGGACGGTGGGGAAAGATAAAAAGAGGACCCAAGGAACTCAAGACACTTAAATTTTAAATGTCCAGCCACGATTTAGACACGTACAGGTAATTCTCCAAAGTCTTCAAAAAATACTAACAATTGAATTCACCTACTTCATTTGACTCAGGGCCTCAGCAATCACTGAGTGTCCTTCAGTATTGGAAACTGAAGTAACTAATGGCATTGCTTATATTGGAACTAGTGGCCCGGTGCACGAACTCGTGCACATTGGAAGGAAATTAATTAGAAGAAATATTTTAATATCACTATTTGCCCTTTCTCTATAATACAAGTGTCAACCAAATTCATGATCGACAATGACAGATGGAAACACACGCGTGCGATTGGCGCCAGCAAGAGCTTTACATGTATTGC